TTAGACTAGTGAACTTTGGAAGGAAAAGTCTCACAAATAGGTCTAAATATTCCATTTAAAAATTACCATTTAATTGGAGTACTATGTAGCTCTTCGAAAAGACGAAGTCATGAACTTTACATACAAGTGGTACAATATGGAAAGTATCATGCTAAGCGAAATGAGTCAGAAAGAGAGGGATAGACATAGAAAGATTGCATTCATCTGGGGGATATAAAGTAACAAAGTATGAGATTAATACCCAAGAATAGCTGAGATCAGCACCAGGAGGATTACTCCATAACTTAGAGGCCAGCCGGGTATCCTAGAGGAAAGGGCAGTTCAGATAGAGAAGGGAGCACCAAATAAAGGATGTTTGGAGGATCCTCCCAGGAGGGGAGATGCATGTCGAAAGTAGACTATGGACTGAACATGTTTGCCACTCAATGCCTCTTTTGCAGACCACAACACCCAAAAGGAGAGAGAGAACACAGGGGATTGCCCTGCCACAGAGACAGGGGGGATGGGGGGATGGGGGTGGGAGGGATATTATCCATGGTGGTGGAAAATGGGCACTGGTGGAGGGATGGGTATCTGATCATTGTATAATTGAAACCAAAGCACAAAAAATTGTAAATCTACAACTTTAAAAAAAATAAAATAAAATAAAGGGGAAAAAAAATAAAATAAAAATTACCATTTAAGAGAAGGTGCTTACTAGAGTATAAAACAATAAGTGCCTTAAGACTGACGACCACTGACAATATACTTCTAAGTGCTTTCTTCTATGTACTGGGGCTGAGAACAATTAGCATTAGGGTCTATTGAAATCTGGTTTAAATTACTAAATTTTCAACATTTAGGATAGCAACGAGATAAGTTTTTAATTGCCCCGTTTTAACAGATTCTTGTACTTTCTAGAAGTTTCATCAATTCCTATTGATGTCATATTGAAACCATTGTGTCTCCTGAAAAATTGAGACTATGAGGAAGAAAATGTCAGTATGATTTTTCAGGAGATAGAAAATATCAACATGATTTTCAGGAGAGGGAAAATGTCAATGTGATTTTCAGGAGAGGGAAAAGTCCTGTTTCCATCACTGTCACGATACAAACACTTTTCTTCAAGCACAACAGCTCGTCTGATTGCTCTGACACTTCTTTCTCTGTTTTCTTGGAGAAGAGAACAAAAAGATAAGGAAGGAAACATCTGAGGCATAGCATGCCTGTATACTGGTGACAGTCACTATTCTAAATAATGATTGATATGAAAAGGCGGGAGTTGAGATTTCAGGTGAGGCATTCAAGGTCTGTCCTGCAAGGCAGCCAGAATAATCACTTGATCCCAGGCTAATTAATAGTCAGCAGAGTCACACCAAAATGCCTACATGAGATGTGTATGTCAGGTATCTGTTCCAATTCCTTTGGGTCTGTGCATTACCAGCTGTTAACATATTTTTGCTATCAATTAATTGGCCTGGAAAGCCGCCCAGTTGACCTGGATGATCTATCTCAGTGGCTCTGAACAAGAGGCTTCCACTAACAGCTGTTTTATCATACATATGCATGCACAGATATAGTTATGAATTTAATACCATCTCGAGCCTGCTACTGGAGCCATGCAGAGAAACTAGATTGTCAACTCCAGTACATTTCTACAATTCTTTACTAATATTTGGGACATGCCTAAATTTCAAAGTAGTAAACCAAGTATACGTCATATTTGAATTTTTTCCTTGAAGAACAGAAAAAAAAAACCCACAAACCACAAAATTAAAACCCAAAGCTTTTAATTTTTTTAATTAATTTGATCTAATGCTATGAGCTTGGGGAAGTTACTGACATTCCATGAACCTTAGATTTATCATCTATAAAAATAGAAATCAGATGATTTGCCACACAGAGCTGTTGTGAGAATTAAGTGACATACCACACCTGCATGTCCTAATATATATATGTAATCAGGTGATGAGAAACTGCCCAGTGGTTTTGGAAGAGACAGTTTACATTTCTGGGTGCACAATTTAAAATAAAATAAAAAGTTAATTTTTTAAATTTTTATTTCTTTATGTTTTACTTTTTGGGTCACACCAAGTGATGCACAGGGGTTACTCCTGGCTCTCCACTCAGGAATTAGTCCTGACGGTACTCAAAGGACCACATGGGATACTGTGGATTGAATCCGGGTTGGTGGTGCGTAAGGCAAATGCCCTACCCACTGTGCTATTGCTCCAGCCCCAAAGTAAAAACTAAATGGAGAGACAAAGACCTTAGTTTCTGAATCAAAATTAAGATGTATGGAAATCATCATCAGTTAATTCTACACTGTATCACTGTCATCACGTTGATCGTCGAATTACTTGAGCGGGCACCAGTAACGTCTCCGTTCCTCCCGGCCCTGAGATTTTAGCAGCCTCTTCTTACTTGTCTTTTCCCAACGATTGGAGGCTCTTTCAGGGTCAGGGGAATGAGACCTCTTGTCATTACTGTGTTTGGCATATCAAATATTCCATTGGGGAGCTTGCCAGGCTCTGCCCACGCGGGCGGGATACTCTCGGTTGCTCGCCAGGCTCTCCGAGAGGGCATCATTTGTATCACAGTTAATTCTACAGAAAGGAAAAACATGACAATTGTTTACCTTGTCACTTACTATGACAATAAATAGGGGAGAGTGGTTAAAACCAAGAATTCTCATTAAGTCAAATGAACTTCAAGCGCACAATACTGCAAATGAGAAGTCATCAGCAGTTGAGAGAAGGCATATAAGCAGTTTCTGGAATGGACTGCTTCCATCAATAAGTGTGATGTCATCTAAAGAATACTCCATCCCCTACTCCCTCCTAGACGATGAATTCCAAGGAAAGGCAGAAAAGCTGGCAATCAGGAAGCTAAATCCACAGGGGCTCCTGCCTGCTAAGATTTCCTTTCGCTCAGGAAAGCCAGTGAGAAATCTGGATCTCAGTTTCCTCATTTTCAAAATTGGAGTTTAATGACGAGTCCCTACGTTATTGAAAAATAGGATTCTGGTTTAATATGGCGTATGTTTAAAATATATGACAAGAACACAAAAGGTAAGTCAGGGGAATGCATCAATGATTATTTACAGTGAGGCCGGCAGAAAAGTGCATGATTACAATGCAGCAAATTACTAGTTGGATGCAAGAAACAGCTACCAAGTAATCTAAAATTATTTAAACAGACTCACAAGGTATTTACAACCAGGAAATTGCCTAACTATCTAGGTCACAAATCCACAGAAGCATAATCAAATCACAATTATACATCCTAACATCCAATATCAAAATACTAAGTTTAGCTTTTTGAAGGTCCTTTATTTAAAAAAAAAAGGAGATATTTTTTACATAATGTTTTATGGTAATGCACATACTTATAAGCTGGAACATTTGGAAATTACTGGCAAGAATAAGTTATTAAAAGATTAATGCAGAGGGACTAACAAATTCATACGTGACCTATCGGTCATGTATGCTATTAGATTTTGTTTATATTTTTAGTTAAACTCATAAAAGGGCTTGATATTTTCACCTAAAAATCAATGAATTAAACAGCATCTTAAAAAATATCACATGAATCAAAAGATCCAGAGTGGCCTGCTTATTGTCTCTTTATTTCTTCTCAACAAAATCAAATTCAGTTTCCAGTCCTATATTCAAGCGCTCTAGAAACTGAAATAATTCTGGAGGACTTTCTTAAAAGTCTCCAATATTTCCCATGTGAGCGTAGCATGAGAACCTTCTAGATTATTTGATTTTTAAAAATTTCAAATACATAAAAAACACATTTGGGGCGGCGGGGGTGGGGAGGGGAACACATCCTAAATGCCTTAATTGTACTCCCTCTCCAAAGAGAAGTAAACTCCTTGGGGAGAAGCTTCCATCACAAACATCTGCTTTTAGGAAACAGACAGCAGCCAAGGAAACACACCCTCAGGCCCTAATAACGGAACTCAGATTTCCAAGCTGGGTAGACAGGGTGACTGGGGGGTGGGGGGGGGGTCCAACAGAAAGAAGCTACTTAGGGACAGTGGTGGAAGGGGGCTGCAACCCGGTGGGGAGGTGGCTCAGTGACACGCACCTATTAATATACTGTAAACCACGTCGTCCCAATAACAGAAGACTAAATCAATAAAAACCCGAGGAAAAGAAAAAGCCAGACTTGCTTCATCGTGGCGCACTGATTCAAAAACAAGGAGAAGGTTCAGAGAACACAGAATAAATAAAGGAAATAAAGGGCTTACTCAATGGAAGAAATACCGCTAGTGCGATTACTTACGCTGGGGCTTGTGGATCACACCCAGGGGTGCTAAGGAGCTATTCTCCCGGATCTGTACTTGCGGGGTCGCTCTCTGCACTACTTGGGAGACCAGGCAGTGCTGGGGCTTAACCGGGGTCTCTGTGTGCAGGCCACGAGCTCAGTCTGACCCGCTCCCTCTCCCTTCCCTATCTCCCTCTCCCCTCCCCCCTTCCTACAAATGGTATTTTCAACAGTCTACTCCTTTAATAATAGGTGAAGGGTACTGGACTTACTTAACTCTTATCTCCAATAATTTATATATGTACATCTATTGCTCTTCACAAGACTTTCCATTTAAGCTTGCAAATGAATAGCTAGAATGCCTATAAAGCTATTCATTGCTTCAGTTCTGAATATGTGCAAAAAAAAATGACAATCTGACTTAGGACAAAAAAAAAAATCAAACTAAATTGTTACTAAAGTCACTGTTAGCAAGTGCTGAAAGCCTTTAAGTGTTTCTAAAAAGGCCCCGTTGTAATACACAAATACATTCTTGATAGTATTGTATAAACACATTTATTTCTCTTTTTCAAGGAATATCATTCATTTCCTTAACAAAAGGTCATTTGCTATTATGTTTCGCCTCAGTGATCGTGCCTCTTTCCGGGGATTCTATTACACTACGCGAGAAACACATTGTAACAAAATCACTCAAAATCATTCCCATTACATCTTATGTGAAATGGAGAATACAGACGCAAAGTTACCTGACAAGCGATGTGCACGAGGTAGACCAGCTCTTTAGAGTCACAGCCATTCTTCATTACTTCATTCTGCTCCTCTGAAAGCGACAGCTTTGTCACAGAAGAAAGGGGAGAAGGCGAAAGTCATGATTAATGAGGAGGCAGAAACCAAGCACGTCGACAATACCCGCACCCGCACATTCATGTAAGACACGCCACGGCGTTGAACTCCCTTGCTTCGGGCAGATAAGATGGGAGCATTCGGGGTGTAAAATAAGTGTTTTTAAGCATTATCTTGGCAATTTATGCCTAGTCTAGCGTAATTTGTAATTTATGTCTGATCTAGTATAATTACAGAACAGCAGTCAACTGTTTGACTGAATCCAATTAAAGAAATAAATCCCGAATAACCAAAGCGGGACTGTACTTCTTCACTCTGGTCAGCACAGATGGGGAAATGGGGGCCCCAAAGTGGCCACCGGGGGACAGTGCACAGACTCCCCATGAAGGCCTCACATGTATTTCTTAAAAGTTGACTGAGAAACCAACACTCAGAAACCGCCTGAAATCTAGAATTCTAGTTGAAAAGATAGGTACACAAAGGCAATTCCTGCAGAAATTATAAGTACAACTATATTCTAAGGAAAACTCTGGAAATAATAATGTAGCAGGTATTAACAGTGAACTGGACACCGTAGATGAAAGGGCCGGTGACCCTAAAAACCGGGCAACAGAATGTATACAAGTGAAAGCAAAGAGGGAGGAATCCAGCGACAACACACATGTCCAGCTATGATCTCTGAGAATACCTAGCAGATGACCATACATGGAACAGGAGCGCCTGGGGAAATGGGCAAGGAATGGACAGACATGTCTGGTGAAAAACCTTTAAAACTCTTAACAGGGATCATTTAATACAAGAAATTCACGGAATTCCAAATAAGGGGAAAAAATTTTAAATCACTAGGCAAGTCATACTCATAATACTGAACAATGGGATGAAAGACAAAAATCTTCAAAGCAGGCAGAGGGGGGGAAACAGGAGAGCGGGGAGGAGTACAAAAGATGGCTAAATTTTCACCAAAAACAAGAACAGAAGACAATAAGCAGCATCATTAAAGAGCCGAAAGAAATGGCGATCGACTCTACTTCCATGAAATTTCAAAAATTCTTTAAGAAACAGAAGCTGACTTACAAATGATTAAAGAATGAGGAGAATTTGTCTTCCACAGACCAATGAAACCAGGGGAGTTAAAAAACAAGTTCTTCAAGTTTAAAAGAAATAGCAGCAAGATTCAAACCCAGAATGAAGGAATAAATAGGCCACAAAGGATAAGTTGATAAGTAACATAAAACACGTAAGTTGTCATCTGTATAAGATTAAGATATTTTCAAAGTTCTTAAGATTTTCCCCAAGCTTTTATTCAGACCTGAACTACAAGACACAAGGTTTTTCTTTTCCCCTCAGCATTTTCTTCGATCAATGAAAACTGAAAGGTCCCACTAACACATTCCCCCTAAAAGAATTAATGTTACTTGGAAAAGAAAAAAAAAACTCAAGGAGAAAGAAATGAAGTCCAACATCAGAACAGAAGTTAATGATGAAGAACTCAGAAAATAAGTTTTACATCTAAACAAGTTTTTGCTGGATGACAAAAGTAATCACTAAGAGATCACTATACTCCTGCCCAAAGCAGGAAGAAACTTCCACCACCACCAACAAAAAGCCAAGAAAGCTTAGAAACAAACTGCCTAGCTGACTATCTCACTAAGGGCAAAGGAGGAACATCAAACTTGAATTCAAAACCCTAGGCTCTTTCGGAGATAGTAAGAAGCAAACAAAATATCTCAAGCAATAAAATTATCCTTGAAAAGAGTCAAATGTTTACAACAACCATGAACAAATAATATTATATACATATGCATATATATAAAATGTCAAAGAATAAATAAAACCAGTTTAAATACAATAAGAACACTTTTTCTTTCTCTTGATTAATTTATAGTTTTTTGGGGGAAATCACACCCAACAGTGCTAGGTGTAGTTCTAAAAAAAAAAAAACGACTCCAGTGCTGCTCCATGTTCTGTGCTCAGGTTTGACTCCTACCAGTGCTCAGGGGACCACCTGGTGCAGGAATAGAGCCCCGGTCCCCAGCATGCCAAGCAGGCACTCAGCCTCCTGTGCTCTTCTCTGCTCCCCCCCAAACCTGGAAAGAAGCCTTGTGGCTTTTTTATAGGTCCTTATGCCAAAACCTCCCCGGAGTCAGTAACATTCCTGAAAAATGACAGTCCCCGATTCTGAAGTGTGTGTGGAACCCTGGTCCCTCCATCGGGAGCAGAGACATTTAGCAAACAGCGGTGTCTGCTCAGCTTTGCAGCTGGCAGAAGGGCTGATGCAGCATAAAGTCCTGTTCTGCCTGATGGTGGCACTCGGGAATAAGCAGCAGCCGCATCACTCAAAAGTACCGTGGGAGAAAAAAAAAAACACCGAAAAATTGCTGTCACCTAAAGCGACAAATTAAAGCCAAGACATATGACAGCTTAAACCCACAGAGGAACAGCTCAGGCGAGAGGGGCTCTGGACGAGGGCACTCCCAAGTGCCACGTGGACTAGGGCGCCCACTAGTGTCCAGAGTTGGACCGACGCACACCAGAGCCGGAAGAAACTGAACCTGGACTTGAGATTCTGACCCGAAACACTGGCAGGTGACAAGAGGCCAGAGTAAGTCTCACTCAGGGTTGCTGGAGAAACTCAGCAGAAAGGACACGTGCCAAGGCTTGAGAAAGGGACCTCTTGGTCTTATTAACTGTGGTGTTTTGCTTTTTTTTTTTAAATCGATCACAGTGAGAGACACAGTTACAAGTCTGTTCATGATTGGGCTTCAGTTACATAATGCTCCAACACCAGCCCCTGGTCCCCTCAGCAGCGTACGTTTCCAACCGCCGGGGAAGTGTATACTGGAAGGAAACTGTGGAGGAAATCTGGGGACACTGATGGTGGGAAACTGACTGTTTTCTTGGTTCCCAGATTGTAAGAACTCCCCTGACAAGGACCAAGACTGCCTGGGGCCACCAAGAGACAATGAGTGGGATGGACACAGAGACACCAGTCACCAGACTTCGGGGTGACACCAGGGCCCCGACACACCCTTGCTGGACTAGGGAGTCCAGCCAGTAGCTCCACCCAACCTTGGTGTCAAGAAGGCAGCCATGTCGGGCCAGGGTTCACAGATACTGGTTGGGTTTGGTGAGGCGCCCTCATCAATAGGTCAAATCTCATAGCTAAGTCAGAGACGCCGCTCAACTGCACAACCAGGCCAACACCCAGCTGTGATGCACTGCCCAGCCTGGGAAAATGGGCATCAGTCACTCCTGACTGAGTACAGGCAGCAGCCAAGCCACAGGAGGTGGGGGAAGAAGGACCTGGTCAAGCCGAATATGCAGCAAGAACGGCACCCCCTGATATCACCCAGAGCCCGGTCTGCAAATCCATCTGCAGGTACAGAACAGCCTCACCCGACCAGTCATGGAGCCCAGCGCCTGGCCCCATCTAACCACCACTCCTGGTCACTGGTAGTCCGGCCCTCAGCAACAGCTGACCTACCGTGTTTCCCAGGCCCCATGCACAGGCCAGCACCATCAGGATTAGGAAGTGCAAGCAGCGAGTCCAACAGCCTGACTGCCCCATGGCCACCTCGACTGACTTCTGAGAATGGGCAGCACCTCCATTCCCCGGAAACCCCAACGGCAAGTCTAACTATGCCACACAGATTGACAGCAGCCCACTGAACACACAGGCCGGGCTGAGAGCTGGCGCGTTCCCCACCCGTGCTGATCTCCAAGGGCTGGGAGAGGAAGCTGGTTCTTCCAACGCACAGACGCCCATTGGCATGCCAGGGAAACATGCCGCCACCAACGTGAACTAATAAAGAACCAATAATCGAGCCTTTGAAAAACGGAGACCTAAGAGTTGCTTGACAAACAATTCAGAATGATTATCTTAAGCAATACCAATAAAATGAAAATACAATGAAATGAAATTAGGAACGAAATATATGAACAAGAAGTTTAACAAACAGAACGTCCCCTCCCTCCCACCCACAAAAATGAAAGTGTGTGATCCCAAAAAATTAAAAATAAAGTTAAAAAAAATTGTGCTCAAAATTGCCCCTCCCCCCCACCCACACACACATACACGTTTTTGGCTGTTTGGGTCACACTTGGGGATGCTCAGGAGTTATTCCTGGCTCGGCACTCGGGAATTACTCCTGGCGGTGCTTGGGGGACCATACGGGATGCCAGGGATCGAACCTGAGTCAGCACATGCAAGGCAAATGCTCTCCCCACTGTGCTATCACTCCAGTACCCAAATTCCCCAAATTTAATCAGGCACTCACAGCTTGACTGGTACCAAACATATCCAACCCAGAGAGCTCTTACTATGACACATTACCATCAAACTGTCAAAAATAAAACAAAGAAAAGTCTGAAAGCACCAAGATAAAAGACTTCCTATATGATGGAAACTCCTGCTACGAGATAGTCAGCAGATTTCTTAACAGAAACTTTACAGTGAGTGGGAGAACACATTTAGAAATAGTAAAAGGAAAAAAAAAAACCCTGCCAAACAAGAATATAATACCCAGGCCAGAGAGATAACATAAGGATTGAGGTGCTTGCCTTGCATCCACTGAGCCCAGTTCGGATCCCATCACCACCAATGGTCCCCCAACCACTGCTAGGAGTCAGCTGCTTCCAAACACACGGCCAGGAAGAGGCCCCGAGCACGGCTGGGTATGGCCCAACCCTACCCCACCCACTCCAGAAAAGAATATAGTACCCAGCATTATGCTGTCCAATGGATGAGAGATTAAAAAGTGTCCCAAACTAATAAAAGCTAAGTGATTTCGCCACTAGGCCTGAATTACAGACACCCTAAAGTGAGTCCTTCAAGCTACAATTAAAAGGTACTAATTAAAATTGTAAAAACCAAAGTGTGAAACTCATCAGGAGAGCGAGATATATAGTCAATTTCAGAATTCTCTGATTATCAGAGTCACTGGAAAAAAATCACTGCTTTCTCCTTTGCAGTGTTGGTGACTGAAACTAG